TTACAAAAATTCATCTAAAACAGGTCTACAAGGAGGAATTTTCAAGTTATCTAAGAAGAGTTCTAGAGAATATGACACTACAAGGGAACTTATTAGGCTCCTTATCCAATTTTTTGAGATGTGATGTGGGTTACTGGGAAAAAATTAAGATTCATAAAAGAGGTTTTGGAAGAAGCTTTTGGACTATAGAAGAACAGTTCTCTGGTGACTTCAATTTCTAGAGAAGATTTTTAGGATAATGGGGGAAGAGGTCTTGGGAAGACTGTTAGGGTACATGAGGGTAATTTCTAGAGCATTTCAGGGTGGGGAGTTTGAGGGAACATGAGGTCTCTGGGAGAGATTTTTGGGATCTGTGCAAAGGTTCAAAGCAGTATGTGAGAAGCAGTGTGTATGGGAGACAGCTCCCAATAGGCTAGTGGTTGTGGGGATCCTCCAGGTGAATTTTTGTGATCTGGGGGCATTTCAAGAGTCTCTGAGTAAGACTCTTCTGGGGGATGTAGGAAGAAGATCTTCAAGGAAGATGTTCAGGGTTCATCAGGGGCATTCTTAAGGTTTTGGGTGGTTAGGTATGAAAATCTCTAAGAATTCTGGGAGAAGGGTAGGTGGGAGGGAAAGTACTAGGGGTATGTGAGAGGAAAGTCTGGGGGAGATTGCTGGGATATACGATGCTCATCTCTAATTAAAGATTTCTGAGGTGCCCAGGGGTCTGGGGGCGATTTCAGGGAGTCTCAGTGGGAGCTTTTGAGGACTTAGGAGAGAGGTTTCTGGGGAAACATGAGGAGCGGCCTCCGCGGAATATTTTTCCATATTGGAGAAGGATGGGGGACTGGGGGGGGGGGTCAAAGGGCGGGGGGGGGGTTCTGCGAGTAAAACTGTAGGGACACATGAAGGTCTCTGGAGAAGGCGGCTAAAGAGGAGAGTAGTCTCAGGGGGTTTCTCAGGCGTACGAGGGGCCCAAGAGTGTTTCAGGGGCTTCGGGGAAGACGTGTGCGGGGTCAGGAGGGAGATCCCTGGCCCGGGCCCTCGGCGATCCTGAGGGCGTGGGGAGGGTTTCGGTGGGAAGCTTTCAAAGGGTCCCGCCAGGGCGAGCCGGGCCGGGTGCGGGGCTCCCTTGCGGGCCCGGTCTCTGAGGTCCAGGCTCCGCACCCGCCGTCGCCCGCGGCTCGGGGTCCCTGAGGGGGCGGGGCCGTCCGCGCGGCCTGGGTCGCCCTGAGGGGAGCCCCGCGCGCCCCGACCCGCCGCCCTGCGCCCGCCCGGCCCGACCCGGCCCCAGCTCACCGCCTCGGCCTCCGCCGCCGCCGCCCGGGCCTCCTCAGGCCACCGCCGCCCCCGTCGCCCCCTCTCAGGCCCGCAAGCTCCCCTCCCTCCTCCTGCACCGACCACCGCCGCCGCCGCCGCCGCCGCCACCGCCGCCACCGCCGCCACCGCCACCGCCACCGCCGCCGCCGTCGTCGCGCTGCGTCACGGCGCCGTGCGTCACCGCCCCTGGCCCCTCCCTGACGGGGGGCCTTCGCGCGCCTGTATTAGCTTGCACCCAGATGACGAACGGCGTACCAACCAATGGGTGGAGAGGGCAGCCCGAAGGGCGGGAGGTGTAGGCCGAGAAAGGCGGGGTCCTGGCCAGGAGGGGAGCGACGGGGCTGGAACGAGGCCCAAGGGGCCCGCCCCCTCCTCAGCGGGATTGGTCGGGAGTGGGGGTGACAGGCAGTTGGCCAGACCCCGGGCTCGGGAGGAGGGCGGGGAAAGGGAGGGGCGCGCGGGTCGTTGCCAAGGGCAACGGGCTCTGTGGAGGCCGCTATTGGGCTTCCAGGCCCGCAGGGGGCAGTCTCGTGCCCGTCTGCCTCAACGGCCCCAAGCCGAATCACAATTCCTCTTTCTGGCGTTCCAGGCCCTCTCCTCCCCGCCCCTCTGCCACGCCCCACCCTGGACCTTAGCCTGGCAGGGTCACCGCCCGTCCAGGGACAAAGAACTGCGTCTGACTGCTGGCGTCCGGCGTTTTGCCTCGCCACTGTCTGAGCTGCTGTGAGATGAGACCCTGATAACGAGGAGAGATCGACCTGTAGGATGGAGAGAGAGGAGGCATATGCAGCACTCCGCACAAAGGACATCGTCAATAAATGGAAGTTGTCACCCTGACTTTCTTTTTAATCTAGTCCATAAACTGTCCTAATCGGAAGTGAGCTAATTGGAAGGGGTCCCGCACCCAGAAGACTCGGGGGTGACAATGACCAGGCTTGTTACAGGAACTCAGAGCAATGCAATGGGGTGGAGTGTCGAGTTTAAGACAGGGTGTGGTGAGAAATGAGCCGCGGCCAGATGTCTGGCCTGTGGAGGGAGTTTGGACTTGTGCTGAAGGCACGTGGGAGCCACGGGAGGGAATCAAGACAGGGAGGGTCTTGGGGAGTTGGGGGTTTTGGAGAGATGTCTCTGGCTTATCGAGGGAGGGTAGAAGGGAAAGAGTGGAACTAGAGGCTAGGAATCCAGGGAGACTGCTGAGGGGGCGGGGAGGGTTTGTGGCAAGACAGGACTGTGGGGAGGGGAGGAGGTGCAGGTGGGAAGGGATGCCCCGGAGGCAGACTGAGCCAGCCCTGAGACTGGCTGGTCGCGGGAGCAGGAGTGAGAGAAGAAAAGTCCAGGACAAAACTTCTGGGAGCCTGGCCCTAAGAGGAGAAGCCCAGAGTGGGACGACCAGCATCAAGGGCCAGAGGCTGCACAACCAGATGGCCTGACTTTAAGAGAAATTGGGGCCGGAGACCAAGATTTAAGGATCATTAAAGATGGTAATTGCTGCTGTGGGTGCTAGTGACCTAGCCCGGAATGTAGGAAGGATGAAGGGAGACAAGGACCCTACAGAATCCTTAGAAGTGGGGACACGGGGTTGGAGAAAAAGAATCGACAATCTCAAGGAAGACTGAGAAGGGGCAGCCTGAGGGAGAGAGCAGGAAAACCAGCCGAGGCTGGGATCACCAGCACAGGGTGGAAGAGTTGACAAATTCCATCTACTACCTCTGAATGTACGCAGCGACTTGACTGCAGTGTAGAATGCTTGTGCTCCGCCAGTGCTGGTTCAGTCATTCGTGTGATGATTGCTTGAGTATGTAATGTGTACCAGGCTCTGCTCAACGTGCTAGAAATATGGCAATCAACACAGAAGACAAAAATCCCTGCCTTTGTGAGGCTTCTAGTCTAATGGGGGGGGGGGAATAGGGATGCACACAATAAATAAGGAAATAGATGTAACTTGATGATAAGTACCTCTTGGGAGGGAGTAAGCTAACAAGATGAAATGATGGGGTCAGAATTATTTCAGAAGGAAAAGGCCTATTTCATCAGGTAAGATTTGAGCAGATAACTGAAAGAATGAGGAGATGAACCAGGAAGGAAAGAGGCTTCCAGAAAGACTGACCAACATATGGCAGGGGCCTGGGGCAGGACCATTCACAGAATCACAAAAGAGGGAAAGAAAGTTGACTGGAGTGGAGTGAGCCAAAAAAGGGTATTGGAGGACAAAGTCCAAGAGGTAATGGGGTTGGGCTGGCTGTAGAAAATTTTAGTTTTAAAGGTCAGTGTAAGGACTTTGACTTTTACCAAAACAATGTGGGAAATGTGAGAGATTTTTGAGGGAAGAGGAAGAAGAAAGATGTTCTCTGCCCCCCCCCCCCCCTTTCTCTTTCTCTCTCTGCTCTGGGGATGGAACCCAGGGCCCTGCCTATGAACCGGCAAGTACTCTACTATTGAGCTACACCCCCAGCCCTAGGGATAACATCTGACTGGTTTTATGAGGACCCCTCTGGCAGTTGTGTGAAAAACAGTCGGTGGGAGGTAGGGCAGGGTCAGGGGAACCCTGAGAAGCTGCTTCCATCATCTAGGCAGGAGTTGAAAGTGGACAGGCAGTTGGGCATGGTGGTGAAAGGCTGGCTTTAATCCCCTCCCTCTGGGAGGCTGAGGCAGGAGGATCACAAGTTCCAGCCCAGCCTGGGCAACAGTGATTTAGAGAGATCTTGTCTCAAAATATAAAATAATAGCTAGCCAGGGTGGTGTGCCCCTATAATCCTAGTACTTGGGAAGCCGAGGCGAGAGGATTGCTGTTAGTTCAAGGCCAGGCTGGACTACATAGTGAGACTCTGTCTCAAAAAAAAAAAAAAAAAATCAAAATATAAAATAAAGAGCTAGGGATGAAGTTCAGAGTGAAGGCCCTGGGCTCAGTCCCCAGTGCTGCAAGGTTGGGGGCTGAGAAAGAGCAGCCAAAGGAATGGGAAAAGAACAGATAAGTGTGGTGTCCTGAAGAGCAAGTGAAGAAAAAGTTTCAGGCAACAGGAAGCAGTTGTCAGGTGCTGCTGAGGACTGACTATTCTGTTAAATCTGGCACAAGGAGGCCCTTGGTGACCCTGGCAAGAGGAGTCAGTGGAGAGGGGCCAGGGTGAAAATTTAGTTGGAGAAGAGGTTAAGGGAAAACCAGGAGGACAAACTAGAGGCAGCAAATGTAGACAATTCTTTTGAGAAATTTTGCTGAAAAAGGAAGGAAATGAGTGAGTAGTAGCTGGGGAGGAGATAGGGTATTTGGTTCTTAAGATGAAAGAAATAACATTGTGCTGGGCTTCAGGGACATTAGTGACACAAGGAGAGAGGGAGAAGAGCTGCAGAGATGCCCTGGAGTAGGTGTGGGGTCCAGGGCAGGCCACAGAGGGGGCCCGGAGCCACCAGGGTGGGGCTAGGACTCTGGGAAAGTTTTGTTTGCTTGCATTTTCTTTTTAATACACATACGGTTTTCTCATAAATGACTTTCCTTTTACTTCTTTATATGACAGGATCAGGATATTGGTTTTTTTTTGTTTTTTTTTTTTACTTTGTGTGTGTAAGTGGGTTACATTACCTAGGAATTTCACTTCAAGATGGGGAAGGGGAAATACAAAACACTCTTTTTTTCTGTGTGTGCTGGAGATGGAACCCAGGGCCTCGTACACGGTAAGCATATGCTCCACCTCTGAACTACACCCTCAGTCCCCAACACACTATTTTAAAAGGGAGATACAGGGCAGGCAGGATTGAACTCTGTTGTTGTAGGCCTAAAGGCCATTAGAAGGCCCATGGGGTTGAATAAGCATGGGAAAAGCACTCTCCATCAGCCAGGCAGAAGGGAGGTGCTTCTCTGGTATCCCTTTAGCCACCAACATAAAGGATGGCAGTATAGCTAGTGAGTCTCTGCACTCCCCTTTCTCAGCTGAGATTCATCTATTACAGGTGGGATAAACCCAGGAAGGCTTCCTGAAAGAGGAGAGGAGCCAAGGAGCTCCTTACTATTTTTTTTTTTTATTCTTTATTGAGCAAGTCTACCATGCTGGGAGGTAGGCAAAGCTAGTTTTTCTTCACAACAATCCTGACCTGAGGGGTGAAGTTCCTTAGCTAGGGTCTCACAGCAAGGCAGTATTTGATCCCTTGTCTGAGTGATTGCAAAGCCAGATAGGTCCTGAGAGATAAGGGGAAGGAAGAAGAGGGAGGAGCCCTCTGTGACAGTTGCCCCAGATTAAGCATAAACAGGATGTGGTATTGGATGGAACCTTCCGCGTGCCCCACAGCCCGCCCCCCACAGCCCTGTTCCCCACCCCTACAAGACAGCGAAACTGAGAAAAGAAGAGGGCTGTGGACAGAAAATATCATGGTCTGGGGGCCAGGGGTAGAACGGGAAGGGCGAGGGGCTAGAGTGTGAGGGTACTGGGATGAAGGTCAGCTGTGGGTGGAGGTCACAGCAAGGAAGGGGACCCAAGTGTAGCACAGGCCTGGCCAGGGGAAGAGAAGTGGGGGTACTGGGTTTAGCCCTAGGCAAGCAGATCCTTGGGGGTACCTGCCATGGAGAGGGCTGGGGTTCAGCCTCCGCCCTGTCCCCTCCAGCTATGTGTCCTGGAGGGGTGGGGTAGGACAGCATCTGCCTCGAGTTCACAAAGGTTTCTGGTGGGATAGAGGACCTCTGCCTCTTCACTGGTGGCTGGAGAAACTGAGGCTTGGGGATGGGGCAGCTGGAGGTGGCAGGGCCCAGAGCCGGGCCTGCTCAGCTCAGCTGTCCGGGGACCCTCTGACAGTCTGACTCCCTGGTCGTGTGTGAGGTGGACCCAGAACTGAAGGAAAAGCTGAGGAAATTCCGTTTCCGAAAAGAGACGGACAACGCAGCCATTATAAGTGAGTGACCTCTTCCCCCATGAGCAGAGACAGGCAGGGAGGGCTGGGCTCCTGACCCTGTGGGATGGGAGGGGCATCTAACCCCTGTGCGCCTCCCTCCCCAGTGAAGGTGGACAAAGACCGGCAGATGGTGGTACTGGAGGAAGAACTGCAGGTGAGGGGCAGGGTGGGACTGGGAGACCACAGGAGCCGGGACTGAAGCTAAGAGCCAGGCATTGGAACCAGTAAGAGCTGGATGTCAAGTTTCAGCACAGTGGTAATTGTAAGCAAGGGACTTTGCCTAAATGACCTGTCCCCTTGGCTGTGAAATCTGGAAAATAGTCCTAAATCATAGGATCATTTGCAGGTTCAACGATTTAATGCTTGTCATGGATTTAAAAAGGCCTGGCACATAGTACATGCTCAATAAAGTGCTAATGTTAATAATAATACTTCATTGGGACCTAGGTAAATGAAAGAGTTTCTAGGTAAGTTAACAAAAAGCCAGCAGAAATCCTTTATGATCAGGGAGACCCCTCCCAGCGTAGGTGTCTTTATCAGTAACATAAGCTGCATTCATACTGTTGGGGGAAGGATGATAACAGGGTCACAGAGACCAGGGCTGAGCCGATTGACAGCGGAAAGGAACTGGCTAGGAGCTGGGCTCTTTGGACCCTCTGAAAGGAACTAGTGAAATGGTTACCACAGGAACACAGATTTAAATCTGAACTTTTCTGTTTGCTATCTGTGCAACCTGGGACAAGGCCCTTGACCCCTCTGGGCCTCAGTTTTCTCAGCTGTCAAGTGGGTATAATAATAGGACCTACCCTGTAGGGTTCTCAGTGAATTAAGTCTCGGTACACAGTAAGTGCTCATTTACAGGTGGTCACTTGTTGTCTTCTCTCCTATGTGTATTTTTGGCCTCAGAACATTTCGCCAGAGGAACTTAAATTGGAGTTGCCAGAGAGACAGCCGAGGTATGCTGTGGGGAGGGAAGGGAGGCCTTGGCAGGGGCTCAGGATCTGTATTTGGATCCAGGAGTTCATATTGTGAAACTATAATTTTATTGGTATGCTATTATCTTTTTTTTTTTGGTCTGGGGGCAGGGGGATCAAACTCCGGACCTTGCACTTGTGCAAGCCAGGGGGCAGAACCACTGAGCTAAATCCCTGGCCCCGGTATGCTATTACCCTATTACAGAATTTTACACCAATAGCTTATACATAATATTGGTTTAGAGCTTATTTTATTTTTTTTTAGTTTTTTGCACATACTTTATCAAGGTTTGGTCTTGATATAACACTGGTGGCACCAGCTGCTTCTCCTTTTCCTCCTTCTTTCTCTGTGGTTGTTCGGATTGAACCCAGGGAGTGCTGAGCTAAATCCCCAGCCCTACTTTATATTTTTTTTAAATTTTGAGACAAGGTCTTGCTAAATTGCCCAGGCTGGTCTTGAATTTTCAATTCCGTTGCCTCAGCCTTCTGAGTACCTGGAATTATAGGTGTGCACCACTGTGCCTGACTCTATCAATCCTTTTCCTTCCTTTTCAATCGTGGGGAATGCTTTGGGTTGGTGGTGGGGCTTGGATTGAACCCAGAGCCTTGCACATGTTAATAATTAGGTAGAATCTGTAGGAAGCCGCATGAGCCTGTTGTTTCATTGTTGTTTTCGGAAGAGCTCTTTGACCATGTCTGCAAAACTGGTCTGTTCATATTTTTCATCTTGTCTAAGTTCATTTTTCATTTTGGGTCTCTCTGATTTCAAGCCTCAGTCTCAGGCTCTAGGTCTCTGTCAGGAGATGCCCTTCATGGGTATTTGACAATTGCACCAAGAAGAGGGTCTCGAATCTGGGGGTTAATGCTGACAGTGGGTTTTTGTTTTCTTCCTTCTCGAAGTGGTGAGGCTGGAACCCAGGGCCTGCTGCATACTAGGCCTGCACTGTTCCACTGAGCTATATCCCCAGCCCTTTTAAAATTTTTGTTTTGAGGTGGTCTTGTGCCCAGGTGGCCTCAAACTTGCAATCCTCCTGCCTCATCCTCTGAGTACCTGAGATTACAGGTGTGCAGCACTATACCAGGCTAATGCTGACATTCTCTGTGGTTTTTCTTTGAATTTGTGTTGTGCTTGGAGTCTGATGGGACAACGGAGCATGGGGGTCCCACCTCCTGCTGCTTCTTCCAGGAAGTTCTCAGCCATGGCTCTGCACCTGCCCTCAGGCCCCTGTCAGTGTGGGGAGGTCAGGGCCCACACCCACCTGGCATCACACATTCTAGGCCATCCAGGGCCTCATGCATGTTACGAAAGTGGTTTACCACTGAGCCACATCCCCACCCTAGGACAATTATTATTTGTAATCATTTGTTGTGTTTGACATGAGTATCCTGGGTCCCAGACATTAACCATGGGTTCTCAGGCTCAGTCAAGATTCAGGCTCTTGGATTGTGCCAGGTGTGGTAATGCACACCTCTGAGCCTAACACTCTGGGAGGCTGAGGCAGGGTGTTTGAAAGTTTGAGCCCAGCCTAGTTGATTTAGTGACTTAGCAAGCCATTAAACATAAACAAGCTAGGGATTTAGCTCAGTCTGTAGGCCCTGGATTAAATCCTCAGTACCACAGAACAAATAGACAAACAAACTTGTGGACTGGGGGATGGCTGTGGGGTCTGGGCCCCAGGCCCAAGTCCTGAGTTTGAATTCCTTTTCATGGGTGTAGGTTCGTGGTCTACAGCTACAAGTACGTGCACGAGGACGGCCGGGTTTCCTACCCTTTGTGTTTCATCTTCTCCAGCCCTGTGGGTGAGACACAGCTCAGGCTGCTTTGAGCAGTGGGTCTTAGATCCTGACTGGGAAATGTGTGACTGTGTCTTGTGCATACACTTGTGAATATATGTAGGCGCCTGGGTTAGAGTATATGAGTGAGAGACTGTGTTTGTGCAAAGTACAGGCACCCTTGTTAAGAATACTTAACCTAGGGCCAGGGATTTAGCTCAGTGGTTCCGGTGCCTGCCTTGAAAACACAAGGTCCCAAGTTCAATCTCTGGTACCAAAAAAAAAAAAAAAAAGAGTGCTTAACCTAGAGCCTGGCATGGTGGCATATGCCTCTAATCCCAGCACTTGGGAGGCTGAGGCAGGAGGACCACTGAGTTTGAGGCCAGCCTGGGACACATAGTTCAAGGCCAGCCTGAAATACATAGTGTGAGACCCTGTCTCAAAAAACAAAACAAGGGTGCTTAGCTGCCATGCACAAAACCTTAGGTTCCAGCCCCACCACAACAACAACAAAAAAAAAAAAAAAAGGGAAAAAGAGAGTGACCATGTGAGAGGCTGCGAGTGACAGGGCAGATACGTGGGTTCATGATGTGAGGGCAGTGAGGTGAGTGTGGTGGCTCAGATTCGTCAAGAGCTCACCTGTCCTCATCCTGAGGCAGAAGACAACTTCTCTCTTCCCTTTGCCTAGAAATTCCCATCTGCCCCTAAATCTTCCAGAGACCCTCACAATAACTTGAAGGTCCCAAACAAACTTAAAATTCTGAGTACAGTCTTCAGAGACCTCTCAGAACAGCTCCCAAGACCCTCCCCAAACTTCCCAGTCTGCAGGACATTGCTAAAGCTTCACAGAGCAAGCCTGGGTCCCCAGTGACGCGCCCTTCTGTCTTCCATGCAGGCTGCAAGCCCGAACAGCAGATGATGTATGCGGGGAGTAAAAACAGGCTTGTGCAGACGGCAGAGCTCACAAAGGTCCTGCCCAGGCCTCAGCTCTGTAGTATTAGGGAAGATAGGGTGGGGGCCTGGACCCCTGGGTCTGAGGGAGGAGGCTGGGCCTAGACCCCTGGGCCTGAGGGAGGAGGCTGGGCCTAGGCCCCTGGGTCTGAGGGAGGAGGCTGGGCCTGGACCCCTGGATCTGAAGGAAGGAGACTGGGCCTGGACTTCTATGTCTGAGGGATCTGGAGTCCTCACCAGATCATAACGCTGAGACCTCTGTCTTCCCAGGTGTTTGAAATCCGCACCACTGATGACCTCACTGAGGCCTGGCTTCAAGAGAAGTTGTCTTTTTTTCGTTGATCTATGAATCAGGGACTTGAATTCCTGATGTTTGAATCCCCACCGGGACTGAAGAGTCGGACTCAAGATGAGAACATCCAAGACCATAAAGAAATTAAAAATGCAAGAACTCAGATGCTGACTCAATTTCTGTCCCTCATCGCGGGCTGTAGCCGGCAGTTCCTGCAGTACCACCATATGGCGGCAGGGGGCGGGCAGACCCAGTGAACGAGAGCCGGGCTCCTAGAGGAAAGGACACCTGTTTCTCGGAATGGGAGGGGCCTATAGAATTTCCTGGGAGGAAGGAATGGGGGAAAGGGAGGCCTAGGTCTCCTGGAGGACTTGGGAGGAATATCTGAGTCTATGGATGGGTCCCTCCTAAGGGCAGAAGGCGACCTGAGAGTAAAGGATGCAGATGGCTGGTTTCCCCTCCTGTCTCCTCGTCCCCTGGGCTCTGGGTGCTAGCGGGCATCAACTGGCACTGAATGCCATTTTTCTCAGCTAAGCCCGAAGGCAGAAAGAATTTAAAGGCCAAAAGGGTGTCAAAGAATCCAATATAATGGCTTCAGGGGCTCGGAGTTGCTGGGGGTGGATAGTTTAGCTGATTGGCCAGGCCTGAGGGCCCAGGGCTGTGGGAGGCGAAGAGGATCCAGGATCCTCAGTGAACCACAGGGGGGCTGAAGAGTCAGGGAAGGGAGACCCCAGCCTACCTGATTCTTCCCTTTCTCTTAGCATCTCTGAGCATTGAACTGTCTCATTCCTCAGTCTGTCTTCAGACCTTTACTGAGCACCTAATCCTGATAGGCAGTTTTTGCCAAGATGAGTCACACCATTCCCAGCCGCTTTCTGCTTTTCCTCCCTCTCCCATTCCTCCTGTCTCTAGTCACAGATTCAGGGACTTGGAAAGCCCTCCTGTCACTTCTTTCCAGGTTCCCTGTGGAGAGGTGTCCGTTGCTATAGTAACAATGACACAGTGACCTTGGGCCTGGACTGTCCCTTCCCCAACCCTGGCACTCCGGGGGAGTGTCTAAAAGCCTAGCTCTAACCCTACTTCTTCCCTCCAAGCCATAACACCAGATCCTCTACATCACCCCACCCTGCCCTGTCCCTTGCCCCCATATACCTGGTCAGAACAAGCCCTTGGTGTGAGGAATTCAGGGCAGAGCCATTCTACACTGGGCCATAGAGAAATGGCCCCTGCCCTTAATTTGGGGGTGGATAGGTTGAGCTCCTCTCTGCTAACACCCCCTCCTCAACCTCATTTTTCCATCTATCCCTCGATCACAGCCCCAGCCCCTGATGGCTGGAGATGGAAAGGGAGGATGGCTGAGGTTAAGAGGGATATTCAATTAAGAGGACAAGGAGTGACCTGCAGAGGTCAGAGAGGCAAAGGGACTTGTCCAAGGTCCTGCACTTTCATAAGCAAATGAATGGCAATAGCTAACTTTTCTATTGAGGGTTCACTATGTCCCAGGTACTTCTACAAGTGCTTTATAGGTATTAACTCATTTAGAAGGTACAATTATCCCCAACCAAAGGTGAAGAAACAGGCACAGAAGCCAAAATTAGCTGTTTGAAGCCATGTGGTCAGTAGTCTGACACTACAATCAGAACTCAAGCCTCAGGTTACCTGTGATCAACAGGCCATACCCTCTCCTAGGCAAGAGATTTAGGGAACCGTGACTTCTTCCTCCTCTTCCCCATCCTTTCTGAGGTTTCCACCCCTCCATACTTGCATTTCTGTCAGCAAGGAGGCTCTGCTTGTAAAAAATCCAATCAGATTATGGGGTATGCACAAGGATTTGTCCAATGGGAGCAAAGGGTTTGGAAAGCAAGATCCAATCAAAGAGGGTGACTCAGGAGAATGGGTATGGCTGGGATTGTGGAAGGACCAATCAGAAAGCCCAGAACAGAGTATGTTATCCAATGAGGAGTGAGCACATAGGGTGTGACTTTGGGTTTGGGAGGACTCCCTGGAGGGGTTCACAAACTGGATACCACTTCTAATTTCACCAGCCCACATTTTCCACTCTCACAGATCTGAGTTCTGGGCCCTAGGCTTTTCTTGGGAGATTTCTCCCTCTTATCTGTGAATGTGAGCAGGGGTCATGTTTGAGAGGCTGAGTTTGTACTTTAGGGGGTGTTGGTTTTAGGAGATCCAGCCTAAGCCTAAGGGGCCATGCCTAGATCCAAAGGTGCTATGCTTTTGGGACAGAGACTAAAGAGGAAGCATGGTACTGGGATGAGGGCTTTGGCTTGCAGGCAGGACCTAGGTTGAGGAAGTGTTCTGAATATTATATAGTTTGGGCTGGTCTCTAAGATAGAAGTACAGAGGGGGCCTCATCTGAATGGCCATCCCTTAGGTCAGATAGGGCATGAGATTTTGTTTTGGGAGCAGAGCCTGAGGGTGGAGCATAGGCTTGGGGCGGTGCCTAACTTGTGGAGGAATAGGATGCGATGTGGATCTGTATTAGAAGATCTGTCGCAGAAATTAGGGTCCCCCTGCGACGACCACACTGTTTACTTCCACATGTTGCTCAATTCTTGAGGCCAACTTACAGTCCCTAGCCTTTGAGGACATTCCACAGCTGCTGGGACATACCCTCCCTTTTAGTGACTCCAGGCTGGGAAGTTGTTGCTCCCCAGCACTCTCTCAAGGGGTGTTCAAGAACACATATTTACTGAGCACCTACTGTGTGTCAGTCTCTACTTGGAACACTGAAGGAAATGGGTGCTCATGCCATGCAGAGGCTTATGTTTTAATGACTAGACAACAATCACAATGAACTATTAAACAAACAATAAACAGGTAAACTGGGAAACAAATGAGAACCTTACAGAGAGTAAAATGTGCTATGAAGGAAATAAAGGGAGGTGATGTGAGAGGAATGGTGAGATCGCTTGGGGTTCCTTCCTGCCTCTTAGTCTCTAGAAGAGTTCTTTTGCTTTCCTCCCTCAATGTTTATTATGAAAAACTGCAAACATGCAGCAAAGGAGAAATAATTTTATAATGAACACCCATCTACCCAGAACTTAGATTCTACCATGAATGTTTCACTATCCTTGCTTTATTACATATCCATCCATCTCTCCATACATCAATCCACCTGATTTTTTACATATTTCAAAGTAATTTGCAGATCCCAGTGGGAGCCTAGGGGTGTGTATGTGCGTGTGCGTGTGTGTGTGTATGTGTGTGTAAATTGAGGATGGAAAAGGCAAGTCTCTCTAGAGAGATTACTTTTAAGATGTGAATGAAAAGAGGGGATGGGTTGCAGAAGAATAAGACAGCAAGGCCCAGGGGCTGCTATGAGGATGTGCTGGAGAAATAAAGTCATCACTGAAGCTGGAAGACAAGTGTCTGGGAAGGAAGTCAAGTGCACAGGCGTCGGAGCTTCCAGATAGACTGTGAGAGTGAGGTCACCTCTTCCTGGGTCTCAGACTCTGGTTTCTTCACCTTCCTGTACAGCTATCTCTTTTTTTCTCACTCTCTCCCTTTCCACTCCTGTCCAGCCTAGATCTGCCTTCGCTCCTCTTTCTGCTTCATTTTCATCCTCTTCTGCCTCTTACTACCTGTGTGACCTTGTGCAAATGACTAACACTCTCTATGCCTCAATTTTCCTTTTCCTTTTTTTTGGTACCGGGGATTGAACTGAGGACCTTGCACTCGCCAGGCAGGCAGCAGAACCACTGAGCTAAATCCCTGCCCTTAATTTTCCTTATCTGTAAAATGGGGATAGTAGTGAGCCCTCCTCATCGGTGTGTTGTGAAGACAGGATGAAGTAACATATGTAAAATCCTTGGGGCCATTGCTGGCACATAGCGCTACATGCATATTCATTTGTGTTGTTATTCCTTCCCCCACTTCTGCCCTGCCAGCCCTGTACCCCCATGCTCTAGCAAGGAACACTAGGAACCATGAAAGGGGTGAGAATGGTGCGTGGGAGTGACAGGTGGAGTCTGAGGCTTGGAGTGTCCCCTGGGCCTTTCATGGTGGTCAGTGGGGTCAGGGTTCACAGAAGAAGGATCTGCAGAAGTGTTTGCTCTGGGGGCTACCGGCCTCATGTGGTGGCACGGCTAGGAAGAACACCTGGGAGGGGTTTGACAGATGCCTTCCATCCAGTGCGATCTAAAATAGGAAGGGGTTGAGACTCCAGGGTTCTGGGGACTGTAATAAACCTTTTTTTTCTTCCAAAATGAGACATTTTGGGGGTTCCTGGAAGTTAGGCACGATTAGAGTCCCTACTGGGGATCAAGGAATGGCTTAGGGTCCTTGAGGGTAAAATGACAAGGCTAGGGGGATCCTCAAAAAGAAGTGGGAACCCAGTTTGTGGTTCTGTTGGCTATAAAGTATGGTCTGGATCCCCAGAGGGAGGAAGGCGCGATCTGGGGTCTTCCTGGATGTTGACATACCCTCTGGGTTCTCCCTAGAAGTAGGGTGTGGTCTGGGGTCCACTTGAATGTTGGGGTATGATTTAGGGTCCTTGGGGTTGGTCCATATGTTGGGCTATGATCTGGGGTCCCTCTGAATTTGGGGGCGGTCTGGGTATAGTCTGAGGTCACCAAGGAGAGTAGGATACAGTTTATGGTCCTGGTGGCTTTCCAAGATGGTCAGGGTCCTCCAAGGAGGTGAGGCCCGCTCTGAGGTCCCCCTGGGTGTCGGGACGTGATCTGAGGTCCTAGCTGGGCGAGCCTGGGTCCCCTTGCCAGTCGGGGCGTGGTCTGGGGGGGGTCTCTCGGGAGGCTGGCAGGGCCGGGGGTGGGGCCGGGGAGGGG